CACATTACTCTATGGAAATCTTTTCTAAAAACTGAAGTTAGCCTTTGAATTAAATTTATTAACTTGTAGCAGGGTGGATTAACCTTACACCATCAACCTCCACAGCTGTGGCCTAAGATCATGGTAAAACATACAAAAAGAGCTCTTATAGAGCCTCATACAAAGCCAAGCTTTAGAACTCACAAACATGGACTATGTTATATTTTGACCATTCAATAAGTCAACATGAAACAATTTTATGCATTTCCTTTGATTTCTCCAGAATCATAATCATGTGAGTAAATCAGTGGTGTTTTAAACCTGTCCTGACTCACTATAAACTCACCTCCAGAAAAGCGAAGTTCTTGTCCTGGTTAATTTGCACAGCCAAGACAGGATTACCGGGAGCCTGAGTAAGGCCACCAAGGCGCATCTGGGCATTGAAGAAATCCATCATTGCTTCCTATTGAAATCATGGAAAGAGATGCAAAGAATAGATGTATGATACAAGCTGGAATGACAGCCTGGACCACAAATAGATTACAAAACAACATTTCCTACTTGCCTGCTATGATGGTAGCAAACTGTGAAGCTATGAGGATTGCAGTCCCATACAATATTCACTTAAAGAGAAATGGAAAACTCTTTGGTCTTTTTTTTCTTTTTGGTAGGGATAATTAAATAACAAGCAACCATATTTATTTCTCTGGTCATTTAGGTTTTAATACATCTCTCTCTATTAGATATAAGCACCACTGACCTGCAGTCAGGACTGCAAATAAATATGCTGCCCAGGGTCTAGTGGAGTAGCAGTGATAACAAATTTAATGAAATGAAATAATAACGCCCATTCCCATTTCTGAATGTCTAAATCAGAATTCAATGCTTCAGGCCAACAATGTTGATCAAATATAAATATCAAGAAGACAAATTTAGAAGATGCCCTGAGAAGAGATACTATATTAAACTGAGCAACTCACTGACTCAATGTAGTCACTTTGGNCACCGGCTCAGGGTTGACTCAGCCTTCCATCCTTCTGAGGTGGGTAAAATGAGGACCCGGATTGTTGTTGGAGGCAATATGCTGACTCTGTAAACTGCTTAGAGAGGGCTGAAAGCCCTATGAAGTGGTATATAAATCTAACTGCTATTGCTATTGCTATATATTTTCTTTTTCCACAGCATAGGGAGAAAACGTTAGTTTTGTTCTTTCTGTTTTTCCAGAAACTAGTTTTATGCATAAAAGGGAAAGTGGGGAGTAATGTTATCCTTCCTTTTTTTTCTGACTACCTAGATAAAGCTCTTGTTGCCGAACATGAGTTGGCAAATGTATCTACATTAGTGTTTCTCTGCCTCAACGACTTTAAGATGCATGGACTTCAATTACCAGAACTCTCCAGCCAGCACAGATCTTAAAGTGGCTGAGGTTCAGAAACACCATCCTATACCTTGTGGATTTGCCAGTGCTGTCTATTGCCTGTTTTATCTGTGTTTTACTTGTGTCTTGTTTAGCGTGGACCACACTACAAGCCACAGAAGGAAGTTTCACATTTCTGTTTTAAACCACATATTATTATTCCATCTATTTACAATATACCAGTAATCCAATAATGCATTAATTCATTCAACTAACTAGAAATATTTCTTCAATAATATCATAGTGCCAAAGAACTAGACATGAAGGGCTAATTGGATGATTCTAGGTCTTTGGGTCATCTTTGATTACTTCAGCAAAAAACCAGTTCATGCATGAATTGAATTCAATGGCTTCCAGGGGAGCAAGTGGCACTTGTGATTCATTATCCTGAAAATTACACTTAATACTCATGATTCCATTCCTAATACTCATGATTCTTTGCATACAGAAGACCAAGTAAACTAGTTTTCAATAATAACACTGTAGATAAAATCCACTACTAAGCATATCTTAAGAAATCAAAAGTATGAGGCATTCATTATTCAACAAAAAACAGATATATCATCCATTGGAGCACTTGTTATTTCTGCCCTGCTTTTATGGCAAGATACTCAAGGAAATTTCAAAATAAAAAGCATAAATCACTGGAGATAGAGTAAATATTAGAATTGTAATATTTATTGAAAGATTCTAAGAACACAAAGTGAAAATAATATCCCAAATGCCCCATTAAAAAAAAAAGAAATTCAATTTCAAAAGAGAGAAACTTGAAGGCTGGTTTCTACTTATCACATTATACAGAATGAAAAAAGTTTTCAGTAAAAAGGCTCTTTTGAAATAGCCAGAGGCTGAGGGGAGAAAAAGCTTCCTTGGAATGATCTTCTACAAAGGAACCAACAGAGAGATCTTAATTGTTTTCTCCAATACTAGTCCTTGAAATAAAAAAGATCATTGAGGAGCTTTATTCTTTATTCATCCTGGCTAGGTGACCTAAAATGATACCATCCTTGAAGGTCCTGTAAGGGGCTGAGAAGTTCAAAAATAATCAGCAAAGCTACACTGCCATCCCTTAGATTATCAAGATAATATACAGTATCTCCTAAATTGTTTCATCCAATTAAACTTGAAGATATTGTAAATGTAGGGCCTCACGCGCGCACACACACACACACACACACACACACA